TCTTTTGAGGAACCTCCATACTACTTTCCAAAGGGGTTGAACAAGTTTACACTCCAACCAACAATGCAGTAAGGTTCCCTTCTGTCCACATCCCCTCCAACATCTGTTCTTGATTATAGCCAATGTAACTAGGGTGAGGTGGTATCTCAATGTTGTTTTGACTTGCATTTCTTTTATGGCTAGAGAGGTTGAGCATTTCTTCATGTGTTTATTGACCATCCTTCTTTCTTCTTCAGAGAAGTTTCTCTTTAAGTCATTAGCCCACTTCTTTATCGGACAGTTGTTTCTTTGAGGATTTGTTGTTGGGGGATTTAATTTTTTGAGTTCCAAGTATATTTTACATATGAGACCCTTGTCGGTTGTATGGCTAGTGAAGATCTTTTTCCAAGCCGTGGGCTTTCTATTGCTCTTGCTAGCTATGTCCTTTGCCATGCAGAAGCTCTGCAACTTTATGCAATCCCAAGGCTGTACAGGGGACTGAATGAAAGACAAGTGAAAGAACTAAGATAAGGTTAAGGGAAAACACTGGGACTGAAGACTTTAAGAGTGTCACATAGAAGAGTCAGTTCTTTATATCTACAACACAAATAGGACTAGTGAGGGTAAGCTGTAAGAGGCTAATTTTTTAAGTGTAAATAGAATATTAATTAAAGGTGAAGACTTACTACACTCTCATAGGATCTCTGGAGGCGGGGAAGGCAAGAGACTCTACCTTTTGCCTTTGTAATTAGATTGGTAGCTCATCAGGGCCAGTGCTTCATAATGATAAACCTTTGATTTCCCTAATCAATTACCAGCAGTAATTACTCAGGTAAAATCTGGTGAATGGTAGGTTAGTGATTGGCTTATACGTGTGAGGAAGGAACTCTTTACGGTATGAGTATTGTAGCAGTTTGGACATGGCTGATAAAGAGAACTTGAAAACAGGAAGGGAAGGAGAGAGAAAGAGATAAAGAAAAGGGTGACAGGAAAGGGAAAATGAAGGAAAGGAAAGGGAGTGAAGGAAAGGAGAGGACAGGAAGGGAGACATTACATCTCTTTACAAAAATAGATTTAGTCAAAGGCATTTGAATGGTGCGTTCATTTCATGCTAAGTTGTCTGAGACTTAATAAAGATGCTTTGAGAGTTTTCGAAACAGTGACAAGTAAGTGTATACTCTTCAGTAACAATAATGGACCTCTTTTTTCTCAGTAATCTCAAGGTCCCAATATCCAACTACAAGTTCTAACATTTCATATTAAATTATTTCTGATTTGTGGTTTTAAGAGCTCCAGACCGTATTAATACACACATTTATGCATACACATATCACCTCTAGTTCTCTTCTGATGTCCTAACCTGCTTTCTCTTGAAGGCACAACATTGCTTTGCTGTGCGTATTCTGTTCTCAAGGATATCATGGCATAGTTTGACTTAGGATTTATGCTTCATTCAGAAGAACCATTTTCCTTCTTCACATAGTCCATTTCTTTCCAGCCACTTCTACCTTCTCCTCTAGCAGTATTTCCCACCCCATTAGGCGGTGTAGTTCACTGCTGGTGCCCATTTGGGCACTAACCAAACCTTTTATGGAGTTACTGTACCCCTACCTGCCTAATTACAGAATTCAAAGCAGAACTAGTGAATTAATAACGTGTATTTATTCCCTGCAGCGTCTGGGGTAGTGTAATGCTGCAGCGTGCTTACAGTAGTATGCAAGCTTTCTCTTCACCCCTCATCCTCCAGCAGCCAGAATGGAAGGTGCACTTTACTCACCAGTGAGTAAATCATGTGAATGGCTGTTTTAAAGCATATGCCCAATACACAGCTCACAGAGAGAACTATACTTTCAAAAGCTCTCTGAGAACACATGCTTGGAATTTGAAATTGTACTAAGTATTGTGTTTTCTCAGGAATCCTAGCTGAAGCAAGATTGTAGAGGCACACATGTGTGCCACTGCATTGATTGCCTCAACCAAAGAATTCTCTAATGTTTGATCCTACAACTCTTCAGTAGGGGCAAAAACTTGTATATTAGTACCAAAGCTGTATAATTCTAGATTAACAGAACACACTAGAAGTCACTTCTCATGGCTGATAGCAAGGAAGATTCTGAATCATTCTGGGTCAGTGTGACAATCTTAGTGTCTCTGCTTCAGGCAATAGTCTGTATTTTCAGATCCATGTAGGTTGAGGCTAACCAAACAATGGAGTAATCAGTAGTGTCTGTCAAAGTTCTCTGTGGTTGTGAAAGTTAGTTAATTCTCATTTTTTAAAAAAATATGGCTGAGCACCAGTAGTTCATGCCTGTAATCTTTGCTACTCAGTAAACTGAAGTCTGAGGATCATGGTTCTAAACCAGCTCATCAGGAAAGCTCATGTCTCCAATCAACCACCTAAAAAGCCAGAAGTGGAGCTGTGGTTCAAGTGTTAGAGTGCCAGACATGAGCAAACAAAACCTAATGCCTAAACCCTGAATACAAGCCATAGTACTGGCACACAAAAGAAAATCAAACAAAATCTGCCTATTTGTCTACAGTTTTTTATTGCTAAATTCATTCCTCAGATCTGATGGTCAGGGTGGGTCAAAGTGAGAATTAAATGTCTGAAATGTATGTGATTTCACCATGTTGACACATTTTACTTAGTTCTTTTGTAGAAGAAAATGAGAAAAGCAACAAATATCAAAGTATGTAAGAATAAGTAAAGTGTAAGAGTGATTTAATAATGAACTATGAACGGTGTAGGCTGAAGAAATAATTTCTAGAGGAGGGTAAGAACTCCATCCCATGGTGCTGTGGTAATTGGAATGTTTTATAGACAACTCTAAAAACAAAGTGATTTTTTCTTCCTACATCCCATGAATAGCTGTCCAACTAAAGGTAGGGCATTATACCAGCTGAATGGACTGCAGTTCTAAGTCCTCTTGAGAAAACTCCTTCCCCAACAAAAGTCAGTGAAGGTTGATATAATACAAAGTAAAGACAAAAATGCTTTGCTTTGGACCATTCATTTTCTTTAGTTAACTATGTTACCCTAAAATATCCATGTTATACCGTATTTTTCCATATATCATATCCAAGTGTTGTAATTTAATTCAAGACTAGGAAAGCAATTAGGTATATTGAAATTAAATGCATTTTGCATTAAATAATAAATGTTTTATCTTGAATATTAGTTTAACTTGACTTTAGTATAAGACATAATTAAATGACATATATTTAATGAACTTCAGGCACTTTTAATATCTGAAATAAAGTAATATTAAATATCAGACCAATGAAAATTCACACCAAACTCACATAGATTCTACTACTAATAATGCTTAGTTATTTCTACCTTTATTTTTATAATACCCAAAATTAAATGAGGAGCGAGGCTTTAGAATTCTTGAGAACTCGTTTTCCAAGTCTGAATAACTGCTACCGTCCCTGCGTTTAACTCTAAAACTGCCAATGTGGTAGAAACTGTAAATGAATTATGCACTTGTTTTGTATTTGTCATTTATTTTTTCCCAATAATTAATCTTTTCAGCCATTGACCTAATCAATAATTTGCTGCAAGTAAAAATGAGAAAGCGCTACAGTGTGGATAAGACCTTGAGCCACCCTTGGTTACAGGTAAAATGAGTCACTTATTTTTCTCCATTGTATGAGTTTCCAAATACTTAGAATAATTCAGTTCCCACTGTAGAAATCTCCTGTCACATTTTCAAAAGTGTATTTATCCTAATATTAATGCATTTCCCAAAGCACATGCAATCTCCTAGGAGTTACTAACAGTCTTACATTTCTAAACCTCTCTTGTTCTAACAGGAAATTTGACAGAGACAGATGTGGGACACATGCACACACACACACACACACACACACACACACATATGCAGTTTTACTTTTTTAATCCCAAGGATCATAACAGAACTCAGACGACCAGATTTCACAAGCATCTGTATTGTGATCTTGATCAATGTCCCAACAGATGCCCATCTAGTCATGCCCTGTACTCATTTAGAAGCTCATTTGTTTTTAAATCCTGAGGGTTATTCTGCATGGATACAAATAGATGTAAATGCAAAGTGTGGACATGTATTCTCTTAAATATTAGTTATTTTTCACGTTGACCTGACCTGAAAGTTTAGAAAAAATGATACCCTGAAATCCTGAAGGAATATTTTGTAGGCATGAATTTCCAAAAGAATGTCAACATCCTGGTTGCTTGACTACGAGCATTGATTAGCCACCTTTTCAGCTATTAGCCACCTTTTCATATAAGTGCTTGTATTTTCAAAGGTTAAACTAAGGATGGCCTCAGTACTGATGCTGTCTCTTGAGGACATGTGACAAATAATGCCACGCTATTAGACTGGAAGAGAAAAGATAACTCACAGTGGTGGGAGCTGACAACCTAGTAGTCCGTGTGTTGAGTTGTAGTGATCTCTGTGGGTAATATTTTGGACTGTTTCTGCAGGACTATCAGACCTGGTTAGATTTACGAGAGCTGGAATGCAAAATGGGAGAACGCTACATCACCCATGAGAGTGATGACTCGAGGTGGCAGCAGTATGCAGGAGAGCAGGGGCTACAGTACCCCCCACACCTGATTGATCCAAGTGCTAGCCACAGTGACAGTCCTGAGACTGAAGAAGGAGAGATGAAAGCCCTCAGCCAGCGTGTCAGCATCCTCTGAGTTCCATCCCTTCTAATCTGTCAAAACACTGTGGAATTAATAAATACATACGGTCAGGTTTAACATTTGCCTTGCAGAACTGCCATTATTTTCTGTCAGATGAGAACAAAGCTGTTAAACTGTTAGCACTGTTGATGTTTCTGAGTTGCCAAGACAAATCAACAGAAGCATTTGTATTTTGTGTGACCAACTGTGTTGTATTAACAAAAGTTCCCTGAAACACTAAACTTGTTATTGTGAATGATTCATGTTATATTTAATGCATTAAACCTGTCTCCACTGTGCCTTTTGCAAATCAGTGTTTTTCTTACTGGAGCCTCATTTGGGTCAGAGACAGAACCTGTCCATGCAGTTGTTGTGTTTGGTATGTCCTATTCATGTTGATGTAAGCAAACTCTTGAAGAGTCGATTATTACCAGTGTTCTATGAACAATTCAAAACACATGGGGAAACAGAAAGTTGGAGGTGAAAGGATATAAAGATACAATCACCTGGAAGTGTTACTGTATGGGTTAAAATCTTTTGTCTGCCTGGTGTGCCTCAATATACCGTAACTCAAGTAAGCACACCTAGGAACGCAGAGCCTATTGCTCTTAAGCCTAAATGCCTTAGAAATGTAAACTGCTATATACAAACAGTATGTTCCTTTCTTAAAATACTCTGCTGTACTGTGGGAAAACAGCAGCTCAGAAACCTTTGGCCTTTTGTGTATTTTTCAATAATAAATAAATATTCTTGTCAAAATATGTGACCCTCTGATTTAATTATTTCTTGTTTCTTTTATTTGTCACCCATACTATTGTTTTCTGGACAATTCAGTGCAGAAGTATTCAATGCTGAAAAGCCAAAGAAAAGTCATACTGTCTAGAATTTAACGTAATCTGCGTGGGTGTAGTAAAAGTAAGCTTCAAAGTGCAGTGGAGCCAGGCACTGCTGAGTCATAACTGTAACCCGAACTACTCAGGAGGCTGAAATCCGAGGATCATGATTTGAAGCCTTCTAGCAGGAAAGTCTGTGAGACTATCTCCAGTGAATCACCAAAAAGCCAGAAGGGAAAGTCTATATAGCTCAAGCTCTAGAGCACCAGTTTTGAGTGTAAAAGTTAAGGGTCAGTACCCAATGGCTTTAGTCAGCTCCAATACTCACATTCTCACTCATTCACACATATACACTCACAAAATAGTATAGCAGATAATTTCTGCTATTCATGACATCTAGCTTCTAATCAAAATGAAGACTTTCAAAGGGAAAATGACCAAAGCCGAACAGGAACTTGGAGGTATACATGGAAACATTGCCCTTTGCCTTCTTAATTTAGCTTCATGATTTAGCCAATATAAGCCAGAGAATATTATTTGTTGAGAGAAACCTGAAAATTTTGTGTTAAAAACTAGAGTATTTTAAAGTAATTCAAGAGATGGGGAATGAATAATTGTTATTCTTGGGTTTAGTACTATTTCTGACTTTGAAAGAAATAAACCTGATTTTTTAAAAGTTCCTCAATCTACTACTTTTAATTTGGGACAAGGTGTGTGCATACCCTCATATCCAAGTGACTATGCATATATGTGTCACCCAATCAAACAGAGTATAGCAACCAATAACTGTTACTATATTACTGTGTTACTGTTTTATATGACAAGAGACTAAGCAATTTCAGGAACCATAAGTGGATGAAAACACATAAATTATATCCCTAATAAAACACACAATGATTTACTCTAAATTTATATCTTCCTCTTATATATAATTAAAAGCTTCTTATTTGTAATGAGATCCTAACAATATTATAGGATAAGATACATGATAATAAAACCCATAAGTTATAAAAATATCCTAATGTCCTTAGTGATTGGGCAAATTGCCTAATAGAAGTTACTATAAATTTTTAAATGACCCAGATGTTAATTATTCACATAACAAAAATTTACTGAACTGCTATTTTACAAAGCTCTCTGCTAAATTCTATGATGTGTGACTGTGAATCAGATGTGGCCTTTGTCAAAGGAATTTCCTGTCTACAAGGAAAACAAATATAAAAGTCTAATACTTTGAAAAAATATACAAAACAGTTAATAATAGAGAAAAGCAAGAAGGTAAAGTTTGAATAGGGTTTGAGAAACTAATCAGTATGCACCAGCTTCAATGTAAGAGAAACTTGAGAGTACAAAAATAGATTTTTACAGTAGGATAATCAAACTTAGGAAATAAGACATACGAACAACAGAGATGGGATGAGATTTTTAGGTCCAGAGTACCTTTTGAGTTATGCTGGGGATTTCAAGTGTATGCTTTATGAGTCTTGGGAAATCATAAACTTTTAACCTGAAGGGTAAGTGCCATCAACTAGTTCACTCTGCCAGAAGCTCGGAGATCAGCTGAAAGGACCTTCAAGTCCCCCTTAATTCCTGTCATAGTAATGGAAGAATATTGGTGGCTGAACTAAAGCAGTAGTAAAACAAGAAGATAGTTGAAGAGGTGGAATCAGTGGGACTTTATTAGTGTTTGGAATCAATCTTAGGCTTTTGGGTTCCCATAAAAGTTTTTTTTAATTGTAAAGGAGTTGTACAGAGGGGTTACAGGTACATAAGTCAGGTAAAGAGTACATTTATTTTCAAATATTTTGATATCTTCAAGTAGTTGTACAAAGGAGTTGCCATTTAACAAAGCAGTTTATGAACACAATTTATCTTGATCAAAGTCACCCCTTCCACCATTCTCAATCTATCCCTTGGCCTTTTCTTGTTAAAACAAGAAAGACAAAAGGTGGGAAAAAAGAATCACAATCAGTACCTTATAAGATCTCTTATTTCTATTTCTTGGAGTTCATTTTGATAAGCACCATTTTATATGATCATATGCACATAACTATTGAGCCCTTGCCATCCTCTCCTAAGAATATCCTTTTTTGTTCTTACTATGTTAATGTTTAGAGTGCTGTTTAATTAATCATGCCCAAGTGTTATAATTTGTCTTTTACTATCCATTGGATTTATTTGTAAATTTATAGATACATTCTAGTTATTACAAATGAAGGAAACCATGCAGCCTATGTTTCTTTGGGTCTAGTTTAGTTCACTTAATAAAATTTTTTTCCAAATCTTTCCACTTTCTTATGAATGGGGCAATGTCATTCTTTCTCATGGAAGCATAGAATTCCATTGTGTCTATGTACCACATTTTTTTGATCCACTCATCTGATTTGATTTCACATCAAAAAATCTAACAATAGCAGATGCTGGCAGGGATGTGGCAAAAGGGAACACTGTTGTACTGTTGGTAGGAGTGTAAACTTGTTCAACCACTCAAGAAAACAGTATGGAGGTTCCTCAAAAGACTAAACATAGAGCTTCCCTATGACCCAACAATTCCACTCCTGGGCATTTTTTTCAAATAACCACAAATCAGGCTGCACTGCACCCACCAGCACAACAATGTTCATTGCAGCACTATTTACCATAGTCTTTGGTTTTATGACTAATGGAAGTAAAAATCATGTTTCCAGAAGGTGAGTTTGCATTTAAATATTTGGATAAAAAAATTTGGTTAGGACAGCAAGTTAAAGATGTCTGGAAGGGAGTTAGATGTGAACCTGGAATTTGGAAAAATCAAAGTTTAAAGATACAGATTTGGAAGTTAATAACTTATATAGTGATAATACTTCAATCCCCAGGAAGTGATGAATGTACCTAAGAAGTAGGTCACAAATATGAGATACATGCATTTGAAGTGATCTTATAAGGAAAGAAGTGATCAGAAATGTTCCCAGACAGGATCAGATAGAGTGGTGTTGGAGAATCCAAGAGATAAAATAATGCCAAGCATTTAGTGGGTACTGGAAAGAAATGCTATATAAAGATAAATGTTCCAGTATTTGGGGGACACCTTAACATCCTTGTTAGAAGTTTATAATAAGTATGAAGGATTCTTCTGCTCTACTCAGAACAGCAATGTCAAATGGATTTCTGGGCAGCATTGATACTGACACAACCTGTCCTGCAGATTGAAAGAGAAAAATTATCTGTCAATGTCTACAAATTGCAATCCCCAAAAGTCATGTGAATTTTCTTCCACTCAGAATATCAAGGGTGCTGCAAAGTCCTCAATTTCAGTGAAGAAACACTAACTTTTTATGCTAAATATCTTGAATAAAATTGTCCAGATTTTCATATCAGTGATATATTACGGAATCAACATAGACAAGTCAGAGTCTAGGTGTAACACAATAAACATACTGAGCTTTTTTAAAAAGTATCTTCTATCATTTTGACAAAAGAAAGAGAAGTGACCAAAGCCCATTTCACAAAAGGTGTGCCATCTGTCATTGTCAACAAGGCCATCATTGCCAGAGAGGCTATATTCCTTAAGCAATAACATTATAGGTTCCCTCAACGTAGCATCACAATTGCTGCTCCCTGTGTATTCTGAAAACTGTCACTGCGTCTTATTTTTGGCCTGATGGGGAGGACAGTATTCAGAGAATTATTTCCACCCCTATTTTCTTCCTTAGAGGAAGTATTTTTATTATGTTCATTTAAAAAGCATTTTATGATGTCCCTTATCTCTGCGAAAGAAATTATATTTGATTTTAGAAAATACCCATGTTGGTGGAGATATTTCAAGAAAGAGTTATTGTGTGCAATGTGTTGAATAATTACATCAATTTATATAAGGATAATCAGTTGCTCTCTTTTGTCATCATCCCTTATTCAGTCATTAATTTTGCTTCCTCTATGAAGTAATCACATTCTGCATACTCTTTGTTGAGAACTATCTTGTCATTAAATACTGCTCCAACAGAAAACACACTGCATTTCACCATGAAGGAAAACCAGCCATTTTGCTTAATATAATTTTTCCAAGTCTTGCCATTTCCTTACAAACTGTACAGATCATTCTTTCTGATGGATGTGTAGAATTCCATTATACATACATATATATATATATATATATATATATATCACTCTTTCTTGATCTATTTGTCCACTGAGGGGCCTCTGGGTTGATTGCATATCTTGGCTATGGTAAACAATACTGCAATGAATATGATTGTGCTGGGAACTTTAGTGTGACCATTTGTTTTTATTGGATAAATGCCCAGGAATGGAACTGCCAGGTTATAGGGAAGCTCTATGTTTAGTCTTTTGAGCAAACTCCATACCGCTTTCCTGAGTGATTGAACAAGTTTACATTCCTACTAATAGTGCAGTAGTATGCTCTTTTGGTCACATCCCTGCTAGCACATTTGTTATTGTTAGTTTTCTTGATAGTGTCCATTCTAACT